CATTACTAACTAAATAAAAATAATAACGATATTATTAGTGATTCTATTTATTGATTGACCTTATGTGTTTCGTTACAGAAAAGAGGGCTTCGAACCTGACGACGAATTTTATACCAGAAACGAGGAATTATATAAAAAATATCCCCTCTATTCCTCCCTTCCAACTACGTTTACATCATTTAAATTGAAACAAGACAAAAATAAGAAACCGGATGGAGTCACTCCAACAATCTATAACAATCAACCTTTTAGAAAGTGCGGTCAGTTTTCAAAACCAATCAGTGAAGTCCTAGATAATCGTTATTGGTGAAATTGTAAATTTTAATTTAATAAAAAATACATTTACAATTACATTTTTTATTTCGAAAAAAAAAAGACTTATAAAAAACAAAAAGTAGTCAGCTCATATCCGTCAAATATTACACACGAATGAAAACCGAAATAAATATAGTAATAACCTCGGGTTAAAGACGAAAAACAGTACGGATTCGCGAGGTAGAAAGATAATAAAACTTATGCAGGCAGAAACAGCTTTTCAACTATAACCCAGAACAAAATTTTTTGTCTTACTCTTCCATCTTCTTATTTTAGGTGTTCTTGACTCAAGACAATAGCCGTATTTGTACCCAAGTACCCATTTGTAACCAACCCCAAGTATTGTTAATACAGTTTATTTTTAGATCTTAAAATCATATAAAAATAGAATTAATGGGAAAATCCCAGTAGTTGGCTGTATACCATCGTTTAAAAAAACACAGAAGTTAAAACACTTCACACTTGTATTGTGGTATAAAAACACATAGTTAAAACTTTTTAAAAAAGTGTTGTCAAAATTTATGTACTAGCATAACGTTTTCGATCTGAACAGATCTTCCTCAGTGCCTTGTGTAATTGGAGCTAACAATAAAGTTATCGCTGAGACCTCCATATATGGGTTTACATCATTCCAAATTTTAAATTTTAATTATGTTGTGACTCTAGGTCGATGACAATGTGGTAGGTATTGCAGTAGGTATGATGTAACAAGAGCGAACGATGTTGCTGTTAGCAGTATCCGAGTTAGGTATGATGTCACCTGGACTCCCTGGACACCCTGGACACTCCATCACCGTAAAACAAATTAACTCATAAACAATAATTTCCCATACAAAACATATCTATAAGACAGTGAAGAGAAACAAATAGACAAAACTTTCAGTTCGCTAATATGTCGCACTAGCACCAAAAAGCAAAACATTATGCTTCAACAAGAAACAACAGAAAGTAAAGAAAACTATACAACATCACGACGAGAAACAAGAAAACTAATTAGAGAGAAAAAAAGAAAATACGAACAACAGCAGTATGAAGATATAGAAAGAAATAGACAACAGTCAAATAGTCGAGCATTTTACAAATCTGTGTCAAACGAAAAGAGAGGATTCAGACCTAACTGCGTGTCTGTACTGAGGAAAAATAATGATGAATTAATAATCAACGAACAAGAATTACTCCAAACATGGCAAGAATATTTCAAAAATTTACTTACACCAAGATGAAGAACATGGAGAGGATATATACCTTAGGGTGGACCTACCGGTAGAGTAGCCAAAAATAGACGAAACATTGCAAGCAATTAACAAAATGAAGAACGCAAAAGCTCCAGGCTCTGACAATATACCAGCCGAATTTCTTAAGTACGGAGGAGAAACTTTACATAGACAATTACACAAACTAATAACACTTATATGGAACGAAGAGAAAATACCAACAAAATGGCACGAAAGTGTAATAATTCCTATCCATAAAAGGGGAGACAAAACCAAGTGCTCTAACTATAGAGGCATCTCCCTACTTAATACTACAGATTTTTACTCTCAGGCAGCTGCTTGAAAAAGGATGGGAATTCAATAGAACCATTCATAATCTCTTCATAGATTTCCGACAAGCATACGACAGCATTAAAAGGGATCAGATGTGGAATTCAATGGCAGAACTTTCAGTTCGAAAAAAACTTATCCAGCTCGTTAAAGTTTGTGTAAATGGCTGTAGATCTAGAGTGCGGATAGGTAACAAGCTCTCAGAGTCGTTTGAAATAAACAGTGGACTGAAACAAGGAGACGCGCTGTCACCTCTTCTTTTTAATATAATCCTGGAAAAAGTAGTAAGAACCGCACAAATTAGAACAGAACTACTGACAGTAAATGGACCAAAATTACTACTAACATACGCGGATGACATTGACATTGTAGGAAATACCGTCACCAATGTAAAAGAAACCTTCAATAAATTAGAGAGAGAGGCAAAAAATACCGGTCTAAGGGTCAATGAAGAGAAAACCAAATATATGCGCATTAACAGACAAAAGAGACGAGATAGAATAGGACAAAATGTAACAATAGACCCCTATAACTTTGAAAGAGTGGAGAGTTTTAAATATCTCGGAGCGACTATCACCACAGATAACGATATCACGGAAGAGATAAAAGGGAGAATTCAGGCAGCAAACAGATGTATGTATAGCCTCCACAACACTATTAAATCCAAGAGCCTAACACGAACATCAAAAATCAGGATATATAAAATAGTAATTAGACCGGTGCTCATGTATGGGTGTGAGACGTGGACGCTGACAAAAGCAATGGAAAGTAAACTCAGATGCTTTGAGAGAAAAATCCTCAGAAAGATCTTCGGTCCCTATCACGATCCGAATACTAACCAATACCGGATGAGAACAAATGCCGAGGTGAAACAAATGTATAGTGCTAGCGACGTAGTCCAAGAGATTAAATCCCAACGTCTAAGATGGACTGGCCATGTTCATAGGCTCCCTAATAACCGCCTTACCAAGTTAATCTGGGAAGAAGCCCTGACAGGGAGAAGGCCCTTAGGACGTCCACGAATGCGATGGAGAGATAATATATGGTCAGATTTGAGAACAATGGGACTACCCACTGACTTAAACATCGTGGACGACTGTTCGAGATGGAAGCAGGTTGTGCAGTCAGCCAAGACCCACCCCGGGTTGTAGTGCTACCAGAAGAAGAAGAAGAAGCACCAATTTATTTTTAAGGGTACGGAGGGTACCCAGGGTATGGAGATCGTATTTTTGAAGCGAGACTAGACTGAGACCGAGAGCAGAAAATGTCTCATATTTATGTCTTTATTTAAATTTATATGGCATTTTCAGATCTCTCGGCCAATAGTAAAATTGAACGAAGTTTTAAGGCGTGGCGATGCGCATCACGGTGCGAATTAGTCCACGACTTATGCACCTGGATGACAAAAGCACGCCAAGACAGAACTGTACGCAGTAAACAAACACTACCTGGACTTGGATCAGTAGTATTCTGACAGAAAATACAATATGTCAGTGAAAACCAGAACTTGCTGCTGCCCAGCGAATATTATCAGAACTAGGACTTGGCTCATTATTACCCTAAAAAGTTACCTATTAGGTGCATGTTATAGCGTTGTTCAATCGTAAATAACAAAAAGTGGACTTGGTTCACTTCTATTCTGAACCCTCCATATTATACAAAGAACATATAGGTAGGATTCTTATATTCCAATGCTTTCTCACTGATTTGTATGGGTATGAATATAGCATCTATAGTTGATCTAGTTTGTCCTTGAAAAGCCTTGTTGCTCTTCATCGGTTATGTATTTTTCATAAATCTTATTGACAAATATCCTTGTTTCAAGAGCTGTGTTACGCAAAGTGATTGTACCATAACTGGTAGGATTTTCCCTTTTTTTTGTGTATTGGTATGGTAATGGTGGTCCTCTACTGGTCTGGTACATGCTTACTATATGAGAAATTCTGGAAAAGTAGTTCTATGTTTTAAATGATCGTTTCTCCAAGTTCAATTGGTATGTCATCGAATCCTAGATATTTTCTGTTGTGAGAATTCTGATTTTCTTTTGTGGTTTTTATGTTGTAATCATCATCATTTTCTTCTTCTTCTGCAATAATCGGAAAAATAATAACAGCATTGGAAAACAGAGACCTTACTGAAGATATATATATATATATATATATATATATTATATATATATATATATATATATATATATATATATATATATATATATATATATATATATATATATATAAGACAAGAAATGGTGATTGGGATGTGGTAAACAGCGAACAGAATATGCTGTATGTACAGATTAAGTAATTAAGTATGTAGCAGATTTGCTACAACAGAGTTTTAAGCTACGTATATTAAAGTTAACAACAATTCCATCATTTTGCTGTGTAGCATATTAGATATATCCTAGTACATATAACGCTAAAGTCGCGAGTGATATTTTTTAAAGCCCTTTTCTCTATTTGGATTGCTGAATATAGGTCTCTCCTAATTCTCGCCATTCATCTCTGTTCTTTGTAAGACGTGTCCACATTGGCCCTGCAGTTCTTTTAATATCGTCGCTTCATCGCATTTGCGATCTTCTACGTGGTATTTTGGCTTCATATGGTCTCCAATTCCCGATTTCTTTATTCCATCGGCCACCCGTAAGACGTTTGTTATGTCCAGCCCATTTCCATTTCAGTGTAGCTGCCTGTTCGACAACATCTTTTACTTTTGTTCATTTTTTTGTTTACATCATTGGTTTTATGGTCTTTGAATGAGATACCCAGCATCTGTCGTTTCATAGCTCTCTGAGTTTTTCTGATCTTCTGCATGTTTAATTTAGTGAATGTCCAGGTTTGAGCTCCATATGTAAGTCCAGGTAAGAAACAGGAAATAAACACTCTGGTTCGCAGTCTTTGCAGTGATATTACTCGCATAAAATTGCTTAGTTTGATTACGCTATTCGACTTGTGCTGAGAACCTATCAAAAGTTTCACCAAATTTTCATTGTTTTTGGTAAGTTGTTGCTATAATTCTACTTTGAATGCTAATGCTATTGTCCCTATTAATTAAACAACTAATGGATAGTTCTTTATCATTTCAACTTTGTTGTACGATTACTACTCATGGGAGAAAAGATACTAAATATTAAACACTTACCGAGTTTTACTTCTTCGTCCATCATTAATTTCTGTAACGTATAAATGTCTATGATTATTCCCATTTTGTTAACTAAATTCAAAATAATATTAATGCGTTGCAGAACTCGTTCTGTAAATGAATTATCAGTAACAGAATACGATGTTGCTAAGTTATACTCCGAAGGAGTAGTGGAAAGTAAAAATTCCGTCTTTACTCCACGATCTTCCTCGTGAAAAACGATAGTTGGATTCGGTCCCATATAGTTTAACTTCTCTGAAGACCTTGAATTACTTTTGCTTTGAACTAACTCTGGAAAAGTTGTCCTGAAATTAAGGTTTTCTATAATAAAATTTCAGAATATAAGCATATAGAAACAGGGATGAAAGGAAAAACGCAATGAGATGAAGCGTTAAAGCGAAATAAGATAAAAAACTTTTATCTTATTGTCAGTAGATGCCATTCACAATCTTAAGCAAATATAAATATGATAGGACAACTTTAAAATCCTAGATTTGTCTATAATGGTCATTTGTATTGTATTGGCCAATGATCAATTGTACAACTATTTTCAACTAGCCAATGATTTTCATAAACAATATTTTGGATTAGTTATGGGCTCTTTATTATCTCCAATATTTTTTAAGTAAGAATTTGCAAAACATTGTAGACCAAAATCCCACAGTAAGGTGGTGATATCTAGATGATGTGTTCTTCATATGGCCCCATGCACCAGAAGCACTGAATAAAATTTTAATTTACATTAACTGTATAGAAGAATCAATCAAATTCGCCATGGAAAAAGAAAATAACAACGAAATACCTTTTCTGGATGTGTTAATTACAAAAGATGATACATGATATGTAACCAAAGTCTCTATATAAAGCCAACACACACCACTAGAAACCTAAATTATCACTCAAGTTACAACAGAAACATCAAAAAGGAAATCATCAAATTACTTTATGATAGAGACCAAAACAGCTGCTCCTACGAAAACGCATTTCAGCAAAAAACCTGCTAAAAAAGATTAACAAAATGATTATCCGTTGTCATTTATAATTTAATAATTTTCTTTATAAAGGAATTTCACAAGACTGGTGAAAGAAAATATCAAAACACCAAAAATGATCCAGAAATGCTCACAAGAAAGTATAGGAAAAAAATACGAGTTCACAATAACATTCAAAACAACCAACACACTAAGATCAAGTCTATCCCAAACCCATCCAAACAACTTCTCCTTCTTCTTCTTTGAGTGCCGTGTCCGTATTCAGACGTTGGCCGTCATCATGTTTACAATTTCCTGAAACCTTTCTCTGTCGGCTGCTGCGCGAAATAATTCTTCTACTGTGAAACCACACCATTGTCTAATATTACGCAGCCATGAAAGTTTCTTTCGACCAATCCATCTCTTTCCTTCCACTTTTCCTTGTATTATAAGGCGAAGTAAATGGTATTTGGGTCCTCTAATTATATGGCCGAAGTATTCTGTTTTTCTCCTCTTTATGATGTTTATGAGCAGACGTTCTGAGTTGATCATTTGAAGAACATCTTCATTGGAAGTGTGCGAAACCCATGATATCTTTAGGATTCGTCTATAGCACCACATTTCGAATGCTTCTAACTTGTTTAGCATTGTGGTTTTTAACGTCCATGTCTCACAACCATACAATAGGATCGACCACACATAACATTTCAGGACCTTCTTACGAATGTTCATTGACAGGTTTCTGTTGCATAAAACTGGTTTCCAGGTCATAAAAGCCTTACGTGATATTTCGATCCTGGATATTATCTCTTCATCAGAGTCACAATTTACATTTAACCAGCTGCCAAGGTATTTGAAATGATTTACCCTTTCTATCTCTTCTCCATTAAGAGAAAGCAGACCTTGATCTATATGGATCTTTCCAACTGCCATCCACTTTGTCTTTGAAATGTTGATTTTTAGGCCTCTCCGATAACTTGCTTCACTGACTAGATTTAGTAATGTTTGCAGATCTTGTAAACTTTCTGCAAGAATGGCTGTATCGTCAGCGTATCTAATATTGTTGATTACTTCTCCACCTAGTCTTACTCCCTCTTGTCTGTCATCCAAAGCCCCCCTAAAGATTTCTTCAGAGTACAGATTAAAAAGAGTGGGTGACAAAACACAACCCTGCCGTACTCCACGTTTGATGGGTATTTTTTCAGTGGGACTGTCTCCAATTTGGATAGAGGCTACTTGATTGTAATATAAGTATTTCAGCAGTCTTATATCATAGTGGTCAAGTCCTGCTGCCCGTAGGCAGTCGAAAAGTGTATTGTGTTGGACTCTGTCGAACGCCTTCTCGAAGTCGATGAAACAAACATAAACATTCTTTCGGAATTCACAACTTTTTTGTAATAGAACGCGCATACAGAATAGTGCCTCTCTAGTTCCTAGACCGTTTCTAAATCCAAATTGCTTATCACCCATCTTACTTTCGCATAGAAGAAATACTCGGTTTTGTATAAATCGTAAGAGTATCTTCAGTGTGTGACTCATCAAACTGATTAGTCTAAAATCGCTGCATTTGGTGGGCCTGCTTTTCTTTGGTAATGTTATAAACAGTGACTCTAACCAATCATCTGGTATCTTTCCTTCGTTGTAAATTTTGTTGAAGAAAGTGGTTAAGCAGGCAATGCTTTCCTCATCCAAAAGTTTAAGTAGTTCGGCAGGGATTTGATCTGGTCCAGGTGCTTTATTGTTTTTGGCTTGCTGTATTGCCTTTTCGACTTCCGAATTCAGTATATTGAGACCTCTGTCCAACTGGTTGTCATAGGCAGTATTTGGAGCATTTTCCTTAGAAGCATCGTCAAAAAGGTCAGTGATGTATCTCTCCCATTCTTTACACTGTTGTTCGTGATCACAAATTTTTCCATCCGCGCTTTTAAGTATGTGAGCATTTTTCTGTTTTCTAATTCCGGCAGTATATTTAAGTTTCTTATGCAGGTTGAAGCTGTCATGCTTTTTTTGGAGGTCTTCTATTTCTTTACATAAATTCTCAAGCCAGGATTCTTTGGCTTGCTTAATTTTTTTTTATGCGTTTATTAATGTCACGATATTCGATAATATTTCTATTTTTGTGTTGCCGTCGAACTTCCATCAGATCTAGAATTTCTTGTGTCATCCACTCATTTTTTGCCAACATGGTAGGGGTTTTCAAAGACTTTTGTACGTTCTCTAAAATCGAGTTTTGAATGGCATACCAGCATTCGTTAATGGTTCTGTTTTCGTTTGGTATATTTGATATTCTGTATATTTTACTATTTATTTGCTGTGTTATGTGTTCGCGCGTTTGAGGGTTTTTCAGGGGGTCGAGATATATCTTACAAGGCTTAGTTGGCTTTGTTAATTTCTTCAATTTAATTTGTATTTTGGAGCAGAGTAAATTGTGATTTGAGTTTATGTCAGCGCCGGGTAAGTTTTTACATCTTTAATATTGTTTCGAAATCGGTGGTTTATTAGGATGTAGTCTATTTGATTCCGTACTATTCTGCCTTGATGTCCATCTTGAGGGGATTTCCACGTGTAAAGACGCCTTTCTGGAAGTTGAATCCAAACAACAGGAGAGATCAAAGAACTGCATTTATAAAATACCTTGTGAATGCAACAATTTTTATTTAAAATAAACTGTAAGACCACTAAGTATTAAGATGAATGAGCATGAATCATACAGAAAAAAACAAAAACAGATCCCAGATATGCAAACATGTCTGAGAAAAATGTGTAGCAAATCCATCAATAGAATGTAACAGGTTCTGGTTACCAATACTAAAAGAAATCATCGATAAGAATATATCAACATTATTGAGTTAATAGAAGATCAGAAACTTTCAGTCAAAGGTTACCAACTGTAAAGTAATAAAGAATGAATGTGTAGCTAGTAAACACCGATCGGTGATAGTGGATACAGAGATAAAGGAAAGGCGGACCGGAAAGCAAGTATGACACCAGAAAGTAAAGTGGTGAAAGTTAAAGGATAAGGATTTGGCAATTGTCTTTAAGAGTAGAGTGCTGGAAGAGTTTGAGAAAAAAGATACCGTAAATGTCTGCTGGGAAGCCAACAGTAAAGTTGTGGTGCGAATGGGAGAGGAAGTGCTAGGAAAACATCCCGCAAAGGGCCTCCTAGAGACAAATAAACTTGGTGGTAGAACGATAAAGTGCAGCAGAAGGTTAGGTAGAAGAAAGAGGTTAGAAAAAGGTATAGAATATATACAAGGTAGCAAAGAGTGAAGCAAAACGCGCTGTAGCTACTGCTAAGCAAAGGTGTCTGCACAGCTGTATGAAGAGATGTCATCAAAAGACGACCCACGTGCGGTAGATTAAAAGTGAAGATGGAAGAGTGTTACGAACCGATATGAAAATAAAGCAAAGACGGTACGAGTATTTTATAAAGTTGCTAAATGAAGAACACAGAGGAGACAAAAGATACGGGAACACAAATGCGAATGTAACACCGGGGATAGCAATAGATGAACTTGTCGAGGCGTTAAATATGATGAAGAATGGTAACACAGTAGGACCTAATGGAATGCCTGTGGAGGTTTGGCAGGCTCTAGGAGATGAAGTGGATGATATTTTGTGGCAAATGATGAGTAGGATATATGAGGAAGAAAGGGTGTCCAATGCATGGAGATAGAGTGTGATGGTATCATTGTATAAAGATAAAGGGGACATTCAGGACTGTCATAACTATAGAACAATAAAGTTAATGTTGCACAAAATAAAAATTTGAAAGAGAACTGTAGAGCGAAGGTTATAGAGAGAGACATCCATAGGAGGAGGACAGTTTGGGTTTATGCCAGCAAGGAGGACATCGGATGGCTTGTTTGCTTTGAAATAGTTGATAGAGAAATACAGCGAGTAGAAAAGAGAGCTACATTTGACATTTATAGATCTTTACAAGGCGTAAGATACAGTTCCTAGACAAGATCTATGGGGATGTATGAGAGAGAAATGGGTTCATTTTCCAGTGACAGCTGGTTTTCGTCAAGGCTCTTCACTGAGTCCTTATCGGTTTCGACGATGGCTACGAAACGACGTAGAAACCTCTTTGTACTGCACTTACAGATAATACAAGGTGGTTTGAAGCGTAGCACTGGCCGTGAAGTTCCTTGTATATTGTAGACCTAAGAGTAGCAGACTACCCTTCTATACTCAAAATGCCGAGATAGCGGAATAAAGGGAGACTATTATTATAAAAGCCTAAGAGAGTGGTATAATCACAGCTACAAACAACTCTTTAGAGTCGTTGTTTAGAAAGGTAGAGTGGCTATCTTGATTGCCAATCTCCATCACGGATATAGCACTGAAGAACAACTAGAAGTTACTTACAGAAAAGCCATAAATGATTAATTCAGTAGTAAAGACATTAGACCTCTTTTTTTTTCTCTTAAAATAATACTTACCTTTCCTCGTCTGGTTTACTATTCGACAATTGCTGTATCACTCCTTTCTCTCCCAGAGCTGCCCTTAATAGGAGACGCTTAATATTGACATCAAAATCATATTTTTTAACATAAAAGTCTGTAAAATTAGTTTTAACTTCTGTAGATCTTACGCAGGAAACTATATCTTTCAAAATGTCGTTAATATTGAATAAATAATTATAATTTAGGGATATATAAGTTAAATTTATGGAATATGTCTTAATTAATTCTATATTCAATAAAGGAATTTTACTGCTGGGTTCAGTAAGATCAATTTCTCTATTAATTAAAAATCTGCAATCAATATATTGTGGCTTTTCAACCCGCAAAAAATTGTTTGTAACTATTGTGACTTTTTGTGTATTCTTTTGTGGTTCATTTAACTTTTCTTGCTTTTGTTTAGCTAGCGCTGCTTTTTGTCTTTCTATCATTTTAGCTTTTATGGATGATACCTTCACCGTATCCCTCACACTAACAGAGTTATCTGACGCGGAAGGCTCAGGCTTTAGTGACATTGCTTTGTACCTGAAATAAACAGAATAGTTAAAGCTACTTAAACATTCTCGTTGATGTTGGAATTCAATGTTTGTAATTCTTTCTTACTCTTTCATATTTTAATTATCCGCTAAAGTTATATAACTAAGAAATACTTACACAAATTTTCTCTGCTTTCCTTCGTCTAACTTACTAAAATCGATGACTTTTCTCTGCACCAGTTTTTTTAACGTCATTCGCGTTGTATTCTTGTCTATTCCTACAAGCTTTCTGATTTCGAGTGATGAACATCCTTTTTCTCCTGACGAATGGATTCGGTAATAGATGTCACGCAGCATATCCGCATTATATATTTTGCTACCAGAAAGTTCTTCCTCTAAAATAAAATAAAGGTTTGCAAACCAAATATTTAGATAAAAAAATCAGTAAATGAAAATACAGACAAAAGGCAGGGGCAGTCCATAGGAGCAAGAGCTATGTTGTAGCGTTTTAATTTTGTTTCAACTATAAAATTATTTAGGTATAAAATTTTGTAGTACGCCCCTGAGTTTTGTCTTGTGTACGCATTCAAAATTCCCAAGAATTTATGTATTGTGTGTTAAAAATTGCCTTCTATTTTTTTACTTTTCTGAAGTCAGTTGAGGAATATCTCAAAGTTAAATTTCGGTTTAATTCGGTGTAGAACTTAAATGTATTTTGTAAGTGTTGATTTCGAACTGGAAATGTTTCAAGGTTGTTTGGCGAGATAGTCAAAAGAGAGATGATTGTTTGAGTTCGGTGGACCAACGAGCATCGGAGAAGACGTGAGGTTAAGTGATTTGCGTTTGGTTTGTAAATCGAACGAAGAGTTTTAGGTGGAGAGAGGCCTTCGAGTTGAAAGGAAGTGTGATTTTTTTAATCAGCAGTAGGCAATTTTGTGTGATGGATTAAGTTTGAAGACCGGTAAAAAGTTGTAATTACTCTCTGTAAAATGACAGATTTATAAAAGTGTAATCACTTAATAGTTGGAAGATTTCTGCAGTATACCAGAATATGGTAAAAATTCAAGGCAGTACACAGGGTGTGCCACACCTCGTTTGTCGTCTGTTTGCTTCCATTCCAAGCTCCGTCTGCCTTCTCAGTACATACACTAAAAGCCAAATAAAGTTGCGTGCACGTCACCAATGTCGTAATTCTAATGTATGTGTGGCTACATTTCTATAGAAAAGTGTATGTTACTTTAGTTTGCTAAACAATCACTTTTAAAAATAACCCGATCAATAAAAAAACTTTTGTAACAAAATAATGTATATACAGCTATGTATATACAGCTTTTTTGGATTTAGACGTCCGTCATTGTAAAATTTTGTGTTGAAATGTTCATGAAAAAACCACCAATTATTGACGGAGTATTAGTCACTACCAGAAATATTGTCATGTTGCCGCGTCGTTTGTTGAGTTTTCAATCAGTGGCCTGTGACGTTTGTACTCGTGGTATCGTCGATTTTTGAGGTTATCTTATTTACTTGTCATTTTTACATTTATTTACTTGTCAAAATGCCCAAACAGCTAAATAGTCGATGCAAAGAACTTGTGGCTTCATTAGTTAACTATTTTGAAAAAGAAAGGATTAATAATGGCCCTTTGTTACCCTTAAACGCTGTGCAAGAGGTAATATGCGAATAAAATATCATTACTTTACTTTACCAAAAATTTTTATTATTTTAGCGTGTAGCTGCTGCTTTAAAAATCAGCGTAAGAGCAGTAAGCAGCATATGTCAAATGCAGAAAAGAGGTGAACAGTTCGAGTCACCAAAGAAAAAGCGTTGCACTAATAAACGAGTAACAAATACAACAACTTTAAATACAAGCTCTATTCGTGATACCATTTACAATATGTACCAGAGAAGTAAGTATGATTATAACAAATATACATTTAACATATTTTTATTTCTGTATGCGTTTTAGAACAGCACGTAACGGTTCAATCATTGTGGTCCCAACTGAAAGATAAAGAATTATTTAATGGTAGTACGACTTCTTTAAAAAGATTGCTCAAAGAACTTGGGTTTGAGTGGATGAAGGATAATCCACGACGAGGACTTATGGAATTACCTAACGTTGTTTGTAAAAGAGTACAATTCTTAAGAACCTATAAAGAAGCGAAGGATGAAGGTATATACCAATTCGTGTTCCTCGATGAAACTTGGATATTTCAAAATGGGATAATTGGTCATTCTTGGCAAAATGAAAATATAAAGAGTGTTATATATATATATATATATATATATATATATATATATATATATATATATATATATATATATATATAATAGCACTACGAGCCTAGTAGGCCCATGGCTTGAGCTGTTATTGTTTTCCATTTCTTCCTATTATTAGCCTTGTCCTTCCATCTTTCTATTCCCAGTGTTTCTAGGTCTTTCTCTACTTCTTGCTTCCATCTACTTCTCGGCCTTCCTCTTCTTTTTTTTGTACCCATTGTATGCATCAGAATCATTTTTGGTACTCGAGAATTTGTCATTCTTTCTATGTGCCCTAGCCACCTGAGTCTCTGAGCCTTTACTACTCCCACTATACTAGGATTCTTGTACATATCTTCTAATTCTTTATTTGTTCTTCTTTTCCATGTATTGTCTACTATCTTGCCTCCAAATATCTTTCTCAAAACCTTTCTTTCCCATATTTCGAGCATACCTGTTTCGCCTTTGTTCAGTGTCCACACTTCACTGGCGTAGGTTACCACTGGTTGTATAACTGTTTTGTAAATCCTTATTTTGGCATTCCTAGATATCTGTTTACTTTTTAATAGCCTGTTTAAGGAGTACACGCATCGGTTTCCTGCCATTATTCTTGATTGGAGCTCCTCTCTAATATTTGGTTTGCATGTGAACATCGACCCCAGGTATGTAAATCTTTCCACTGCTTCAAATATATATGCTTTTTCACCCTCTACTTCTATTTTTAGATTTCCTCCTTTTTGTTCACTGTCATCTATCCATTCCATGTATTTTGTCTTACTTTCGTTGATGGTTAAGCCTATTTTCTTTGCCTCTCTATCTAGCCTCTTTACTACTTCTTGTAGCTCCCATTTGCTTCGAGCCAGTATTACTACATCGTCTGCAAAGGCTAGACATTGGTGCTTTCTTTGGTATAACAATCCCTCTCTGTTGACATTTGCATCTCGTATGACCTTCTCCAAACACAAGCTGAATAGTATCGATGATAGGGGATCTCCTTGCCTTACTCCTTCACTGACTTCAAATTTTTCCGACATTATATTATTTATTTTAACTCTGCTCTCAGTCTTCGACAACGTTATTTGTATCATTCTTATAAGTTTTCTACTGATACCCAATTCTTCTAGTGCTTTGCTCATTTGGTTCCGTTTTATTCTATCGTACGCTTGTTTGAAATCAATGAAGAGGACCCTTGTCGGCAGATTGTGTTGATAACTTTCCGCTTGCAATTCTCTGAGCGTAAATATCTGATCTATTGTACTTCTACCAGGTCTGAAGCCACATTGGTACTCGCCGACAATGTTTTCTATCACTCCTGCCAATTTGTCCTTTATACACGCTGCAAGAATTTTGTATGCAGTATTCAAAAGTGATATCCCTCTGTAATTTTGACAATCTGTCCTATCGCCTTTCTTATAAAGTGGGCATATAATTGCATCTGTCCATTCTTGTGGTAGTTGTTCTTTAATCCAAATCTCCTTTATTAATTTGAACATTTGCTCCTCTAGCGTTTTCCCTCCATATTTGAACATCTCTGCAGTTATATTATCACTTCCTGGACTCTTGTTATTTTTTAATTTCTTTATTATTTCCTTTATCTCGTTTCTGGTAGGGGGTGTTTCTTCTGTCTCATTTATTTGGTTCCTATGTTTCTCCGTTCTTATAGGCTGTTGCTGTTCTATCCTGTTTTCGTCATTTAGCAATTCATCGAAGTATTCTTTCCATCTAGCGGCTATTTCATTTTCTCCACTAATGGCGTTTCCCTCTTTATCTTTGTAAAATATTGTTTTTTGTTGGTATCCTCTTTTTTCATTTTTTACTCCCTGGTATAAATTTCTAATTTCTCTATTTTTGTAATTTTCTTCTATTTCTTTCAGCTGATTTTCCATGTACTTTCTCTTTTTCATTCTCAAAACTTTTTTTACGATTTTTCTTTGTTTTTCATATCTGTTTCTTGTTTCTTCCGTATCACTTTTGATCATATCCATCCTTAGTTTACTTCTTTCTTCAATTTCCTTCTGGCATTCTTCGTCAAACCAATCCTTTTTCTTTTTAGTTATATTTTTATTGCATTCTTTAGCTGTGTTACTGATAATCTGCTGAATTTTGTCCCAGTCCTTGTCTATGTGCCCTTCTAGGTGTATTTCATTTAATTTTCTATCGATACCTTTTCTATACATTTCTTGTTCTTCTTGCGTTACAAGCCGCACTGGTTTATTTGTGTTCTTATTTTTTCTTTTGCGATTTTTTTCTTCCGGTATCAGTTGAGCCATTTTAATTCCTAACATGAAGTGATCCGAGTCAGCGTCTGGTCCTCTGTATGTTCGCACGTTCTTTATACATTTTCGGTCTTCTCTCTCTATTAGTACATGGTCAATTTGATTTAATGTTTTTCCATCTGGGGATCGCCATGTTGCTTTGTAGATGCTTTTTCTCTCGAAATATGTACTCATTATTAGCATATTTTTTTCTTTGGCAAAATCTATCAAAAACTGCCCGTTCTCATTAGTTTCCTCGTGTTTGCTAAATTTTCCTATAGTTGTTCTATATATTTCTTCTTTTCCTATCTTTGCATTTGCGTCCCCCAGTACTACTTTAATGTCATATCTTGGAATACTTTCAAATACCCTATTAACTTCACAGTAGAAATCCTCTTTTACTTCAATATCTTTTTCTTCTGACGGTGAGTGAATGTTAATGAATGTGATTTTTTGATATTTTCCTCTTATTCTTAGACAACATAGACGATCAGATATTGGTTTAAAGTCTACAATTGATGCTTTTAACGCTTTATTTACCAAAAATCCTGTGCCTAATATTCTGTTTCTGCCTCCACTATTAAAAAATAAGCTATTTTCAATTTCCAGCATTTCCTGACCCAGTTGCTTTGTTTCTTGTAGTGCCACTACGTCAAATTTAAACTTTTCAATTTCTTTAGTTAAGTGTTTCAGTTTTCCTTCCTCAAAAGTACCCCTTACGTTCCACGTTCCTACCATTAAGTGATCTTTTGGATATGTGTTTCTATTGTCTTTTTTTGTATTTTTTATCTTTAAATCACCCTTTCCTATGACAATGTTACCGGTATTCATGTCCTTGTTCCTTGCGTTGTTCGTCTTCGTATTTTTACTATCATAGCCGTTTTCTAGTTTTTTGAGTTTGTTATTTCCATTTTATCTTCCTTGCTATTCCACTTCCATTCAACACCATTTATCATCATTTTCCTTGCTCCTATTTTGACTTCGTTTCCTTTGTTTCTTTCCTCTTGTGCAATTTTTCTTATTATTTTTTGAATTTCTCTCTCTCTCACCGTTGTGTCATCGTTGATGTATACCTTTTCCTTTTTGACGTCCTTTAACTTTGCTTTATTCTTCATAACTTTTATCTTTTCTTGTTGGTTCTCCATTTCAATTAGGCACGTTTTTGGACCTAGTTTGTGGGCCGCCTTTATTTTGGCCTCTACTGCAAGGTGATCTTTTATAAAATTGCCAATTGCTTCCTTCAATACCAGCTGATTCTGCGTATCAATTGCTAGCCCGTTCATTACCACATTATTTCGCCTTCTCTGTTTTTCTATAATTTCTATGTTGTCTCGTATTTCCCTTAATTCTTTCTTAATCTGTATGTTTTCCTCTTTTAGAATTTTATTATCATTCTTTAGTTCCTTGTTTTCCCTTATTAGATGTTCAACTACCTCCTTGTATTCCTTTTGGTCTTCTTTTATTTGTCTAATGTCGCTGGTTAGGTTGCTCATCATTTCTAGCAATTTATCAAGTTTTGCTCCATCCTCTTTTCCTCCTGTCTTCTGAGGGGTTCTTGTTAGTTTTTTATTTTTTCTGGATCTCTCTTCCTCTTGCTCATCATCCTCTCCTCTATTCTTTCTTTTTGCTCCTTCATCTGTTGTTGTATCGTCACTGTCCATATACGTTTTACCTTGTAGATATTTTTCCATCCTTGTATGCTTTTCCTTTTTTTTTTTTTACTTCGCGGATTACTTTCAACTCTGATTGGCGCCAGACACTATCTCTCGCTTCAACAGCTCGGAAGAAACAGTATCTACCACTTCCTGTTGAATCCCCTATTCGAAGTCTCGACTAATTTTGTATTCCGTGGCAAACACGAAACTTTGCACACATTGGCAACGTCGCAATTCAATTAAACGTAGCTTCCTTCCCAGTGTTAGTTCTTATCAGTTAACCTCGCTTTTTTCCCTTATCCGATTATTCACTTTGTTATTGTTTTTTTTGCAGTTTTCGGTGTTTATTTTTGCACAGTTGTTACCTTATTCAGTTATCTCAATTCTCACTACAACGTATTGAATTATTTCCCGTTGCAACTCTCGAATTTCGGGTTTATCGCAGACAGAAAATAAAACAAAAATCTTTAACTCCGCGCCACGTTGCCGAATCCCGGCAACACTAAACTAAACAATAAAGAGTGTTACAACCACTAAAACGGATGGCAAAAGGTTTGTTGCATTAGCTAAGTTGTTAGATGAAACATTTAAATAATATCATTGCAGGTATATTATACTCCATGCTGGAAATGAAACTGGATTTATAGAGGGTGCTAAAGCAATATTTTGTTCAAAAACTCAACTTAGTGATTATCATGGGGAAATGAACCAGGCAAATTTCTTGAAATGGTTTGAATATCAGTTACTGCAAAACTTAGAGAATCTTTCTCTAATTGTACTTGATAATGCACCTTATCACAGTATGTTATTGCATAAAACTCCGAATACAGGATGGTCAAAAAGGGCTATCGAGGAGTGGTTGACAGAAAAAAACATTTCTTATTCCCATATGATGTTCAAAACAGAACTGTTGCGCATCGTTTCTCAGTAAATATATAGATATCATCTTACATATAAATGACATTTATTTTAAACATTTTTTTAGAAATAAACCAGAAACCAAATATATAGTGGATGATATGGCAGAACGGTATGGACAAAGTTTTACGTCTTCCTCCCTTACCATTGTATCTTTAACCCTATTGAATTAATTTGGGGCATAGCAAAAAATTATTACAATAGGCACATTGGTAGAGATGGTAACAGCGCTAACAACTGCCTAAACATGTGGCATGAGGCACTTTCCATGATTACTCCTGATATGTGGAAAAACTCTATCAATCATGCTGAAAGAGAAATATTTAAATGATATGAGAGAGAAAGAATATTTGATCGTCAAGAAATTAGTCCAATAGTAATAAATGTTAGTAGTGGAGAGAGTGACACTAATGTGGAATCAGATTCAGAAAATGTTTAGTTTGTTGATGTTGTTTTTTTTAATGTCTTGTTTTGTCTTTGAAAATAAGTTAATTATTAAAAAATATTTTATTTTATTACTTGTGGTTTTGTTTTAATTATATTTATTGTTTGGTAAGTCAGTAATAACTTTTTAAATTTTTTGCATTTTCTTTCGACTAGTAATAACTTTGCCACTTTTATTGTGAAATTACCTTTTTTGTGAAATCTATTCATGAATGTAATTAACAAAAAAATAAATGAAAAAAAACACTCATTTTTAAATTCCACTTACCTAATATTGTTACAAAAGATTTATCCCACGTAGGAAAAGTCCATTGACGAAAAAGAAGAAGTAGTTCGAGAACATTCAATTCAAGATGACATCGAAAATTCTTGAAATGTCTAGTGAAGTTTGGAACGTCAGAAAATATGTATATAACAGATGTTTTTGATAGTTGGGGAACATATATGTATTTTGAATGTAGTTTATAGTTTCAGTTAGTTAAAAGTATTGTTATATTATTGGTGTTAAATTAAGCTAATTTTCAAGAAGTGTAACAATATAGTGTGAAATTTGCTACCTTCACCTTTTTTGTTTACTTCAGTTCTTTTCTGTTAATTTTCATACTTTATAAACCATCTGACAACGCTGCAAATGTTTACAATGATGACGTGAACGCAACTTTATTTGGCTTTCACTTTTTTTGTAGATATTCGTTTAACTCAATTAATATATAATAAATAATAAAAAATATGAAATAATATATAACAAATAATAATTCTTTATTATCTTTGCATAAAAATTTGGATATTACTTAAATAAAAATTCAATAAAAATAAAATAATTTTTACCTGATTCATCTTCTGCGTCAGAATCTTCGCGGTCATCCATTTTCCAGCAAGCTGCAACATTTATATAAGGATCTACCAATTCATATACATTTATAGTCTTTTCTTGTCCGTTGTTCTTCTTTAAATATTCTGAAGAATGTGCATTTGGATAAAATGATCGGTAGGGGTATACCTAAAAATTGTAAAATTGTTAAGTCCAAAAAAGTTTCCATATATTTATGGTTGCATTTGGTAGGTTAGCGAATGTAAATATAACTTAGGGAGTTTAAACCATGATTCGATCAATTTTTTATATAAATTGAGATTGGCCACGAAACTTCTGAATATTAAAGAGAGGGTACAACACCTGAAGATATGCGCAAATCAATCAAAAAATGTGTTCATGATGCTGCTCATGAAGCATTAGAGTACCAAGAAAAATATCAGAAACAAAACTCAACAGAAAAAAAATGGTGATCAGAAAATACAACAACTTTAGTAGAACAAAAGAAGAATGCATACCAGAAGTGGCTATCGACAAAAGATTGTGAAGATCATAGAAGACAGTGGGCTCAATAAAGATGTCAAAAAAGAAGTTGCCAAAAGTAAAAATGAAATATACAAAAGAAAATATGCAGAAATAGATAACTACACAGGAGGAACAAGAACCAGAGAAGCTTGGAAGGCTATAAGGTATATTACTAACAGAGAATAAGTGCAAATTTGAAGGAGAATTGTTTAGACCAACAAATAAGTGACACCCTTCTTCTTCTTCGTCTAGCCATTCACGTCCAAATCTGAACATAAGCCTCTTCAAGTCTTCCTTTCCATTGTTTTTTATTGTACGCTACTTGTAGCCAATTTTTCCCGGCAGTCCTTTTCAGATCATCTGTCAATCTCATAGGAGGTCTGCTTCTGGGTATTTTGTGTTGGTATGGTCTCCAGGTTAAAATTGATCTGTGCCATTTGTTTAGATTGCTCCTAGCTACATGTCCAGCGTATTCCCATTTCAGCTTTAATGATTTTTGCACCACATCGGTGACTTTGGTTTTCTGTCTTATCCATGTGTTTGTTTTCTTGTTCTTAAGTGATATACCTAGCAGTGCTCTTTCCATCGCGTGTTGAGTGACTCTAAGTATATTCATATTCTTTTTTGTGATTGTCCATGTTTGTGCCGCATAAGTTAATATCGGAATAATGCATGCATCAAAAACTTTAGATCTAAGATGTAATTGAATTTGTTGATTTCTGAGTATATAGTTCAGTTTACCGAATGCTGCCCAAGCTAACTTTCTTCTTCTTTTTATTTCTTCAGTTTGAATTTCCCTATTTAGGATTATTTTTTGTCCTATTCTTCAACTTTTTCTATAACGTTTATTCGTTTATTATTGTCACGTTTCACCAAATATCGTTTATTATTGTCACGGTGTCTTCGGAGTGAATGATTTTTGTTTTGTTTAAATTCATTTTCAGTCCTATTTTAGAAGATTCGGTATGTAGTTCTAAAAGCATCGTTTGCATTTCTTGTAGGTCAGTAGCTATCAGGATTATGTCATCTGCAAATCGTAGATTACTGAGGTAGCGGCCATTGATGTTTATTCCCTTATATTTCCAATTTAGGTTTTTAAAAACGTCCTCCAAAACTAAGGTGAACAGTTTGGGTGATAAAGTATCTCCCTGTTTGACTCCCCTGTTTAATGGTACAGGGTTCGTGTGTTCATTTTCATTTAGATAGTATGTAGCTGTAGCTTGGTACATAGTTTCTTTTAATAAGTTAATATATCTGCTGTCTATTCTACAATTTTGCATTGCGTTTATTACGGCCGTGTGTTCTATGGTATCGAAAGCTTTTTCGTAGTCTACAAATGCTACGAAAACTGGAAACTTGTATTCGTTACATTTTTCTATTAATATTTTTTGTGGTTAACAGGTGATCGGAAGTTGAGTAGCCTTTTCTAAAACCTGCCTGTTCATATGGTTGGTATTCGTCTAATTTCCTTGTTAGTCGAGTAGTTATGACTTTGGTGAGTATTTTAAACACCTTTCTTGTGTAATAAGATTACTTTAGAGTTGTTCCAGCTCTTAGGGACTTTGCCCTGATGTAAACAATTGTCCACAAGTTTAGTTACAATTGCAATTAGTTCCTTACCTCCTTCTAATATCATATCTGTGGTAATACTATCTTCTCCTGCAGCTTTATTTCTCTTTATGTTTTCCAATGCTGTAGTTACCTCTGAAATTGTTACTTTTGGCATTATTTCTGATTCAACATTTTTTATTAATTTCCCTGCTGGTCTCATCTCATCATCTTGTTGATGTGATCTGTAAAGTTCTGTGTAAAATTCTTCTATTCGTGTCAGTATGTTTTCTCTACTTGTGATTTCATTTTCGTCTTTTCCCATTAATGATATCATCTGACGTCGTCCTAGTGTCGGCCTGAGGCATTTCATGCTCTGATTTTTTTCAACAGTTGTTGTTATTAATTTTTCGTTTTCTTTTATTTTTTGTTGTCTGATTCCTTTTCTAATCTGCCATTAAGTTCTCTATATTCGTCGGTTCCCATTTTGTTAGATTTATTTAAGATCTTCCTTCTTTCTATTTGTTGTAATATTTCTTTGTCTAATTCATTGTATGTTGTTTTTGGTTTTTTCAGTTGCAGAAGGCTTTTATTCACTGTTTCGGTAATAAGGTTATTCAAATCATCAATATCATTGGAGTTTATCTGCTGCATGCTAACTTGATTTAATGCATGCACTACCTTTTTATTAAATTCACTATTTTTGGTTTCTTCAGATGTCCATTTGTATCTTTTTTCATGTATTCTTTTTCTTTCTAGTTTTTTGTTAATTATTAGTTTTGTTCTTATTAGTCTATGATCGCTTCCTAGGTCAAACTGATTTAATACTGATACGTCTTCTACTAGGTTTCTATTTTTCGTTAAGATATAATCTATTTCATTCTTTGTCTTTTTATCGGGACTCATCCATGTCCATTTTCTGCTTGGTTTTTTATTGGAAAAGGAATTCATTGAGTACATGTTATGTTCATTCATGAAATTGAGAAGCATTTCTCCTCTATCGTTTCTTTCCCGTAGCCATAGTTACCAATTAAATGTTCATAATCTTCCTCTTTTTTGCCCAATTTAGCATTAAAATCTCCTAATAGTATTTCGTAATTTGCTTTATTTGTTTCTATAGCTGTTCCAAGTAGAACAAATAACTATAAAAAATTGAAGAAACCAGTGAAATACTCTAAAAATGGTAAAGTACCTGGATCCGGAAATATCCCCATTGAACTGATTAAGTACGACCCAGATGTATTGCTTGAACTGATAGTTAAATTATTCATTATAAATTTCTTAAAAAAGATATCCGAGTTAACTCTTCTTCTTCAACCTTTAGTAATCCAACTTTGGACATAGGCCTGCGCCAAATAAATCCAGTGTTTTCTATTTTGCGCCACTTGATTCTAGTTGTGTCCTCCGATCTTCTTAATGTCATCAGTCCCTCATTTGTGGTCTTCCTCTGCTTCTCTTTCCTAACCATGGTCTCCATTCTTGTATTTCGTGGTTCCATCAGTTCATAAGCCTGATAAATCACAAATAATAACAAATAGACTGGAAATAAAATTAGATTTTAAAAGTAGGGAACAGACAGGTTTTAGGAAAAACTTTGGCACCCACGATCGTTGTCATCCACTGCATAAAAGAGATTATAGAAAAATCCATGGAATACAACCGACCATCAGTCCTGGCTTTCGTAGACTTTCGCAAAACCTTCTATACGATAGAAATTAACAGCGCAATGAGAGCATTGGAGGAAAGTCGCATAGATTATCGGTACTCCAAACTGATCGCGAATATGTACAATAATGCAACCATGACAGTAAGACTACACAAAGATGCAAACTGTATACAAAAATCAAAAAAGGAATCAGAGAAGGAGACAATTTAATCTCCTAAACTCTTTACGGCAGTTCTGGAATATGATTTCGAAAAATTGGCGTCAAAGCCAATTTTTCGAAATTGGCCGATGGCGAAATGCTATCCCACCTACGATTTGCGGACGATATTTTTCTGATAAGAGATAAAACTTTAAAGAGATTGGAACTATGCTTGCTCAGTTAGATGCCGTCTGTAATGAACTTGGTTCAATGGTTGTATGAAATACACAACAAATCTGGTATCAAGCGAAAAACCAAAAGTCGACTATAACAAAAGGGGATTAGTTTATAAACATAAATACTTAGATCGGGCCTTTAGCCTGGGTCGCATGTGGAGCTCTATCAGACATTTACAAGAGCAACATGCCAAATTATTTGAAAATGAAGACGTTTGACCAATGTGTGCTTTCAGTCATAACTTACGGCGAAGAAACAATTTTCTTACCCCAATCGACAGCAACCAAACTCAGAGAAGCTCAAAGAAGAATTGAACTCTCGCTAAGTACGTGGCTCTCAGAGACAGTGTGGAGACTACAAGCAGACAGAAGAAGCAGAGGTAGACCACCTACACGATGGAAAGATGACGCCAAAAGAATCGCTAGGAATTAGCTGCAGGAAGCCCAAGACCCACAGAACTGGAAGAAACTAGGGGAGGCCTATATTCAACTTTGGACGCAGAAGGCTGGATGATGATAATGATGATCCCAGACGACTGGAATATAGGGTGTATAAGCTCAATTTACAAATAAGAAGATAAAAGGTTAGACTCGCCGTTAGAAGGCCGAATATTAAAGAACAGAGCAGAATAGCAGAATTAAAATACGATGATATAGAAGAGCAAAATAGAATTCGAGCAGAAAAATAATGCATAAATAACACATTTGCACTTCAACAAGTTCTCGAGAAAAGGAAATCACGAAACCTACACACTTCTTCTTCATAAAGTTCCATCTCCTATCGGAGGTTGGATATCATAACGGCTATGGTCACTTTGTTGGCTGCTGCTCTGAAAAGTTGTAGTGAACTACAGTTAAACCATTATCTAAGGTTCCTCAGCCAGGAGATGCGTCTTCTTCCTATGCTTCTTCTTCCTTGGAACCTTCCTTGCATAATAATTCTCAGCAGCTCATATTTTTCTCCTCTGGTTATGTGATCCAAATACTCTAGTTTTCTTCTTTTTATGCTGTTCATAATTTCTAACTCTTTATTTAGATATCGTAGTACCTCAGCATTGGTAATCCTTTGAACCCACTGAATTTTTAATATTCTTCTGTAACACCACATTTCGAACGCTTCTATTCTTCTTATGTGTTGTTTCTTCAATGTCCAAGCTTCCATTCGGTATAGTAAGATAAAAAATATGTAACATCTTAACCTACACACACGCACTTGTTATTTGTTGATGTAGAGAAAGCTTTCGACAAAGTGTCCTTAAAAAATCTGTTTCAGGTGTTAAATATGCTTTAATAAAATTAAACAAACAAAAAGCTTGCATATTTTGACGACACGGGTCTCATCCATTCTGCGTAAGTGGATATTCCATTCCTTTGTTCTATTTTGTGTCCATTCCTTTATAAACTGTACGTTACATATTTTTCTAATGTCTTCACTTCTCTTTCGATCTCTGAGCCTACTTTATGTAATTCGTCGCAGTACTTTCATCTCTGCGGTTTTCAGCAGCGTTTGTGTTGTGACTGTGTCAGGTCTTGTTTCTGATGCATACGTCATTATTGGTCTTACACAGGCTTTATAAATTTTTGACTTCACCTCAGTGTTAATGTGTCTGTTTCGCCATATAGTGTTATTAAGGCATCCGGTCAGTCTATTTGCTATTTTGTACTTGGTTTCTCACCTCTTTGTCCAGGTCTCCATAGCTGAACAGTGTAATTCCAAGGTATTTTATTTCCATTACTTGTTCAATACTGATGCCATCAATTTCTCTTTCACATCTGGTTAGTTCTTTGCTGATTAATCTTGTTTTCGAGATACATATATAAGATATTCTGAGATACAACAAAACAAGTGATGGAGTTTAAATATCTAGGCATCGCATTATCTAGCTACGAAAAGCTCGAAACAGAAGTGGAAGATCAAGTGAATAGAGCAACAAAACGGTCATCAAACCAATAATCAGATCATATAAGCCGAATGAAAACGAATAGAGTAGTAAAGACGGCAAGAGACGGTCTTCCCCAATAGTAGGAAGACCACATAAACGATGGAACTTACTGTCGTTCTAGTGTCCAGTCATGTCTCCATAAAAAGAAGAAGAAAGAAAAAGATGAAGATAAACCAATAAACTTGGTCTATAGGTTTCAATTATATTTTACATAGTCTCCATCATCATCATAATCACTGGCTCGACAACCTTTTTTGGATTTTGGCCTGTTCCAGGATTCTTCTCCATTCTGATATGTTTCGTGCTTCCTCCAGTTTTTTATTTGTAAGGTTGTTTTACATAGTCTTGCTAATTTTAATATATTTTATTTTTTTTAAGTTTTCCTTGACCTCTTACTTGGATTACTACTTACTCTTTAATTACTATATGTTCTAGTATACCTGAAATATTTTGCTTACCTTTAGTTTGACAAACTTCTTAAATTCTGGGGTTTTAAGTAATTTTCTCACTGGTTGTAAATTATCGGCGAATATTGCGCTTAATTTTTTGTTTGTGATTTTATAACCAGGTTGATTTTTTAATACATTTACAATTTGATTAGCAACGCAATTCAGTCGTGATCTTACGCTGCTATGAAATCTACGCAAGTGTAATAAACTTCCGGATTTATTCTGATCTAAAACTGCAGATTTAATAACGAAAAATTGTTTTGAAATAAGATCGGAACAATAGAGTTGTTTCTTGTAGTGATATAGAGTTTTCGGGTCCATTTTAAAGGCACAAGATATGGAAACGTTTCCTTGAGTAAGTTCTCCTAGTCTTCTAGATCTACCTATTCTTTCTAAAATGCAATATTCTGCATTTAAGAAATCTATACATGGATCGATTAGATCCCCACAAAGGGCTTTAATCCTATGTTTTTGATCAGCTACAATCACCAACTTCCGGCCATATCTAAAGAAGTATAAATAATTAATATACTTGTACACAGTACTGTAAGTACCTACTAAATTATTTTAGATAATTTATGCTAGTGTTCATTATTATATAATCATAACTTTTTGAGGTAATAATTCCATTCACAAACACAAGTGAAATTGTCTAAAATAACTTAGTACCGACTGTTCTTCAATGTTTCTGTCTGAAATAGGAATATATGTTTTCAATGAAATGATATAATCAATCATACCTACATCTTATTAATCAATGGTTTTTATGACACAGTCATGGTTTATTTCAAAGAATAGCTTAGTTCACGAATTAAGTACTGATTGTGTAAAATTATTTTCAATATTATCATACATTATCATTTCTATCAACCGAGAAAGCAGGTAGGATTCTGTTCAAATTATGGTACCAATGATCACCTCCATTCAGTAAATGTATCATGGAAATAGACAGCCTTATAGAAGCAATGAATGACAGCAGGATTGATCATAAGTGTAGTGAACTTAATTACAATATTTACGAAAATGCCACTATGACTGTTAAGATACACGATAAAACCTGACCAATAAAAACAAAACGTGGGATAAGGTAAGGAGATACATTGTCACCGAAATTATCCATAACAGCATTAGAGTATGCTTTTAAGATGGTTAATTGGGACCACAGAGGAGTAACAATGGACGGCGAAAAACTTAACCATCTCCGTTTCGCAGATGACATTGTCCTTATCATAGATAATTTAGGGGAAGCCACAGATATGTTAAATGAATTGGACTTTGTATGTTCGAAGGTGGGCCTCAGAATGAACTTGTCCAAAACTAAATGACAAATATGGTCCTCAATAACCATTTAAGTATTCAAGAGAAAGTGGTAGCACTGGTATAGAAATATATGTAGGTAAAGAAATAATAAATCAGACTTACTCACAATCAATTTAATTTAACTATTCGACGACCGGTTTCGCTTTCTACAATATGCAAAGCATCTTCAGGTCTCGGTACAAAGTTAAACAAATGCTGAAATGATAAAAACCCATATTAGCCCATTTATCATTTATCATTTATCATTTCAGCATTTGTTTAACTTTGTACCGAGACCTGAAGATGCTTTGCATATTGTAGAAAGCGAAACCGGTCGTCGGATAGTTTAAATTAAATTGATTGTGAGTAAGTCTGATTTATTATTTCTTTACCTATTTGAAATGGACTCACACAAGCAACAAATTCATGATTAGAAATATATGTATTTGGGTCATGAAATAAGAATCAGCAGGGATAACCAAACATGTGAAATACAAAGACGAATTACTTTAGCGTGGCAGCCTTTGGAAAACTGCCAGACACACTTAGGGCGAACATAAGAATTAGCCTCAAAAGAAAAGTATTTGACCAATGCGTATTACCTGTCATGACTCATGAGGCGTAAAATATGACTCTAATCAAGACTACGGATTTGAACTTGAGAGTGGCACAGAGACGAATCGAATGTTCTATGCTGGGAGTGACTTGCAGGACCAAATAAGAAACGAAGATCTGCGAAGAAGGACAAGTATTGCTGATGTTGTGGAACACATAGTTGAACTGAAATGGAACTGGACAGGCCATGTCGCAAGAATCCACGACTCACGATGGATGAGCAAAATTACAAATTGGAGGTTAACAGCAAACAAACATAGTAGATGAAGACCACCTACACGTTGGGCTGATCACATCAGGCATATCACCAAAAATTGGCAACAAAAAACACAAAATCGTAAAGAATGGAAGAGTTTAAGGGAGGCCTGTGTCCAGCAGTGGACGTGATAAATGATGGCTGGATGATGATGATAATAATGAGTGTAAAATTAGTGTTCTGTTAACATCTGGACTAAGGTATTCTCTGCTACATTTTACAGAGAAATAGTGACTTTCACCCTATTGTGCTCAGTGGTAAACTACTTTTGTTTGTCAAATTTTCTCATTTTTTTTACATAAACAGCGTCTCACATTTAAAGAAGCATATTTACAAGCAAGAATAAAAGCTTATGAAAAGATTTAACTTATATTCTTCAGATATCTATCTGAAGCTGTTTTAAGAATATGCTGGCATTGGCACTTGGAAAATTTTTTCAGTAAAAACCAATATAAGTAATTTAGGTAGGCATTTAACCAAGTTATATAATTCACTCTTCAATTATGCACAAAAGTACATCATGAAATTCAAAAATAGGTGTAACTTTGTTGACCATATGAGTTATTTTTTAAACCCTTCCTACAGATGTGGTATTTTAGATTTAGCATTTATTTACCAAAGCAAACTATAGAAAATATAAGGTCCAAAGATTATGCTTTAAGTTACACCCCTATATTGACCAGTAGACACTTTATATTTTCATTGACAGACAGAAAAAATGAAGTAAGTAATATGCTTTATATACAATTAAATCTATAGGTATAATACATACTTTTCTTGGACTTCATCTAAACTCAAATCCTTAACAACATCACTGATATTTTCTCTCTCATTAAATGTAGAACAAGAACCTAATGTTAATAGCGAATTTACAGGTGCTACTGGATAAATATCAGGTAATTCATAGGCCTGAAAAAATACATTTTTTAACATCTTTCATCTTTGGTGTACTACCAGAAATTTCATGTACAATTTTTGCAGTGAATTTTCTTTACAAAAATACAGTAAAATACCAAAGAAAATTAGCAATAATAAATTTATAGGTAAGAAAAAAACACCCACAACTGCTTTAATTATACCTTGAATGACCAATGTTGAGTGATACTTCCCTGGGTTGTGTTAAGCATAATATGTACTTGATTATGCCAAGACAGTGTTAATAGGGAATATACCTTTCCATGCATCAATGAAGGGAATATTTCTTGAGATGTTCAGAATGACAGATGAAAATTTTAAGTGAGATGAATGTTGTGTTTGTTTTTGATTATATTTATTATAGATATATCGCACGTTCCGAAGAAAAGTGTAATAAATCACATTTTTTTCTATCTTCACTTTTCTACAGGAATGGATAGTACATTAAATGCTCCATCTCCGAAGAAACCCGTAATAATTTAAGTTCAATTGTTATTGCATAGATGGTGAAAGAATCACTATTCTTCGGAACAGGTTCATCGGCATATTCCGATGAAAACAGTAATCAATCAATCAATCAATCAATCAATAATGCCTTTTATTTCTCAATATAAAAAAATACAATACAATACTTTTAGTGACATTTGTTCTCCTTGGCACAGTTACTCTCCTTGGCACTCGTTAAAGAAGTGACAGATGAAAACAGTAATAAAACGTAGTTATCGTGGTATGCACTACGGCATTCCGCTGTATTACCGATCAAAAGTGTAATAAGTGTAGTTATTACTGTCTATTTTAAAACTTTTATAACTTTAGTTTCGTGTTCTCCCGGTGAAAGTGTAACATTTCGTGTTGCTACTCTTATTATCGGAATATTTGTCAATATTTTCACTTTACTTTCGGCGAAAAATGTAATATTTGTAGTTATTGCTGTTTACTTTGGAAGAGTTTACACTTTTATTTCGTGTTTTCCGAGTAAGACCGTAATATTTCGAGTTGTTACTCTGATCATCGGAATACCTTTCAGTTTTATCACTTGACTTCGTTGAAGAAAAAAGGCAAAAAAGGGATTTTTAAAGAAACAGAGTGGATAAAATTAAAAACTAAAATGTTGCGGAATATGGGTAAAGAGTATATGTCATGTTTAAACTCCAAAAAGGTGATATCATTGAGAAACGTACAGGCTGCATGTACTGATAAATGCAGATTCAAATGAGAGAGTGCATATGTTTAATGAGTTTTATAGTTCGAGTAATATTAACAAAAAAAAAGAATTTATAAATCAAAAATGGAAACTATACAACCAAACTCCAGGTACCAAAATCCTAACAAGAGGCGACTGAATAATGCATTTTATTTCCAAGTGAATCAAAAGAAAATCCGAGTATGTAAACTATTTTTTAAAAAAGCTTTAAATATAAATGATAAAACAATTGATACAGTAATAAAAAAGAGCACTTCAGCCGGATCAGTAAGTTAAGACAGAAGAGGAAAGCATAGTAAACATCGTCAAGTAGATTCCAATATAAAAAATGACATCTGAGAACATATTCAGTCACTTCCGAAAATTGAAAGCCACTACTTAAGGGCACAGACTACTAGAGATTTTATCGAAGGCGGTAAAAGTGTTGCAGATTTACATATGGATTATGTTAACCAATGTAAGGAAGTCAATAAACCTTTTGAAAACTACCATAAGTATGTATTTTGACATTTTCAACACAGAATTTAATATATCCTTCTTTGTCCCGAAAAAGGACCAATGCAACCTTTGCTTCTTATTCAATAACGCCAGCGAAGCTGAAAAATGAATCTCGAGGGTGAATATCAAAAACATCAAGAAGAAAAAATATTGTCTAGAGCTGAAAAGGAAAGCGACAAAAAAAAGTGTAGCGAGAACTTTTTAGTCGCATGTTTTGATATGCAAGCGGTGTTCCAGCTGCCAAAAGGTGACACATCAATCTTCTATTATAGATCAAAACTAAATACAATTAACTTAACTATCACTGAATTGGTACCGGATAATACATGGTGCTTTGTATGGCATGAAAGCCAAGGCGGAAAAGGAGTGATCGAAGTGACTTCATGTCTTTTAATGTATCTAGAGCATAAGTTCAAAACCATCAATACTCCAAATTTGGAAATAGTCTGGTATAGCGACAATTGTGCAGCACAACAAAAAAATAGGTAAGAATCAGACATTTAATTCAACGGAATTCTCTCAATGTTTCTTCTTCTTTATTTCAGATTTTTGATAGCAACACTCATTTATGCAGTACAGAAATTTCAGATGAGAGAAATTACACATAGGTTTCTTATAGTTGGCCACACTCAAAATGAGGGAGACTCCACACATTCCGTTATTGAAACACAGGTATGAAATGGATAATATCCATGGACGGATCAGTTATCAACTGAAAAATGTCATTTTTAGGTTACACGTTCTCTAAAATCAGGACCAATTTATGTACCAGACCAGTTTATTTAAACAATAAGAAATGCAAAGAAAAAGGGGGAGCCATACCGAGTCAAAGAGTCAACGTATGAAGATTTCATGAACATCAAACCGTTGATGAATGACCTAGGACCAAATTTCAATATCGATGCAGAAGGAGAACAGATACCTATTAATGATCTTAGAGTTGTTAGAGTGAAAAAGGATGAACCATTTAAGTATTTTTATAAAACTTCTTTCTCTCAAACTATTTCAAGGCAGTCGATATTCTCAAAAGTCCGCGTGCTAATGCTAAGCGCATTCAAAATTCACCTAATCAAACACAGTTGCTGACATTAAAAAAAGCTTACAATTCGAAACGACAATTGACTGAGAAAAAAATAGACGACCTACAGTTTTTGGTAAAAAAAAGGGTATATTCCTAAGTATTACCAAGTATTCTATGATTAATTATGTTAAAATATCCATGAAAAAATTTCCAATATGTTGTATTTTTAAATTCTTTTATATAGATTTTAACTATTTTTCGAAGAAAACTGTAACATATCATTTTTTTTTTAAATTACTCATTATCTCAAAAACCGTTTTGTTTCATAAAAAGATTTACTTAGGTAGATTATGAAATAATAATTTATTTACTCTTTTTTAATGCTATTTGAAAATATATAAATTCACTTCCCAGTTTATCTATTCGCATTTTAAAAATGACAAAAATTGTTTTTGCTCCCCTGAAAAATTTTTTTATTTTGACTTATTACACTTTTCTTAGGAACGTGCGATATATAAATATATCTGTTTGTATTATCTAAATATTTGTTTATTTACTAATTTATTTATGTTGTGCTATATTTTTGTTCTAATAGAATTATTTTAGAAAGCTCAGGTTATTTGTGGTGGTTAAATCACTTTATAGTTGTACGATTTGTGAGATAATTCAGAATCGTATATATTTAAACATAAAACAAAAAACAGAGGCGTGATACTAATACACAAGGACAAGATACACATTAAAAGATAGAGACATTCAGTGTTATACATTACACCATTATTAAATTGACATTAGATCTTCCTTCTGTTTTTTTGCTTCATGTGTATATAAAAAATCAACACAACATTCATATTACATAACATAAACTGTCATTTTACACAACATAAATAATGCATGGAAAAGTATATTCTATATAAGCAATGCATTGGCATAATCAAGTACATAGTGTGCTTACCACAGACCACATTCTCTGTACCGTTATTGGTTGAATAAATTTATTGATGAGTTGATGATTAGCTGCAAATTTTAGAGCTCAAATCCAGTCATCTAAGGTACAATCAAATACCTTGAATGAATTCATTGTTTACCTTTCAATATGATAAAAGACCATAAGGCCTCAATTACTTGTCTAATAAAGATGAAAAGATTTAATGTAGATATGTCAACATTAAATCATAAATAAGTTTGAATTTGTAAATAGTAATATATAATTGAAAAAAAAAATTAACAATTTATATTTACATAAAGACTATAAATTGTAAAATAAAAGAAAAACAGTAGGTTGTACTGTAGACTAGTGAGGAGCTTCATATGTTTTCTGTATTTTTTACATTTTAAACCAATTCAATAAATTATAAAATTTGCTTCTAACGCCACATTATAACATAGCATACCTGTCAATGGCAGACCAAATATAATTAATAAATTATAAATCAATACTATTTGATAGTAAATTTAATTTAACGGCCAGATCTAAACAACCAGCAAGTATAGAAGACAAATGGAATTGTAATAAAAAAGCTACTGTAACCACCAAAAAGTCTCTGATCGCTTCCCAAAAGTACAAGAAAAATAATTGGATGACTGAGGAAATATTATCAATGATGGACGACCGCAGATCATTTAAAAACGAAGACTGAACCAAAAATCAGCAGATTAACTGGCATATACGAAAAGAGTGTCGCAAAGCTAAAGAACAGTGGCTACTAGACAGGTGTGCAGAAATGGAGGAAGTGGAAGAAAAACATGACCACTTTAACATACATAAACTCATTAAAGAAGTGATAGGACATAGAAGTGATAGACAGCAACTATACTCAGACAACAATAGAAAAAACTCTGAAAGTGAATATAAAAGTGAACTCTTCCCCAAAATATTGAAGTCAAAAGTTATAAGGGCAATCAAACAGAGCAAATGGGGAAATACACCAGGCCCAGACTACATATACATAGAGGTTTTAAAAATGTTGAGTGAAGACAATACAGACGCCTTGGTAGATCTTTTTAATGACATTTATGGGTCTGGTCAAATACCACAGGATTGGCTTCAATCAACCTTTATACCAATCCCAAAAAAGCCAAACGCTAATAGTTGAGACCAATTCTGAATGATCAGCTTATTGAGCCAGATGCTCTTCTTAAAGATAATTCACACAAGAATATACAACAGATGTGAAAGAGACATTAGCCCCACACAGTTCGGCTTCAGATAAGAATTTGGCACAAGAGAAGCACTTTATAGCTTAACTGTCCTACTTCAGAAATGCAGAGATCAGCAAAAAGATGTCTTCCTATGCTTTATAGATTACCAGAAAGTGTTTGATTGTGTTAATCATTCAGAATTAGTAAGATTACTGAAGGAATGTTTGATAGATGAAAATGACCTTAAAATCATAAAGAACCTTTATATGAATCAAGTGGCATCTGTGAGAGTAGGACTGGAATCTACATCATATTTCTCAATCGAAAAAGTTGTATGACAGGGTTGTGATCTGTCACCCCTCCTTATTAATCTTTACTCTGAAACAATTTTCGATAGAGCCTTAAGTGACACTGAAGACGACAGAATCAAAATCAATGGACAGACTATTAGTAATCTTCACTATGCTGATACAGTCGTAATAGCTGATAGTCAAGAAACGCTACAATGACTGGTAGATATAGACAAGACGAAGGTAATGGTGGTTAGTAGAACACGAAACATGCAATTAAATATAAGAGTTAACAATAAGAACATCCAAAAGGTCCCCAAGTTCAGATATCTCTGTAGTTGGATACCTGAAGATTTAGATCCAGACATAGAGATACGTAGCAGTATTGAGCAAGCCATAACAGCATTTGTAAAATGTTACATTTACTCCATACTGCTATATGGTGTAGAAACCCCAACCATAAAGGCCAATGTGATGAACCAATTGGAGGCCTTTGAAATGGGGTATTTAGAAGACTACTTAATATTTCCTGGATAGATCACACAACAAATGTTGAAGTATTAAATCAAATGGGCAGAGAACGAGAATTGCTGTCAATAATAAAAAGAAGAAAAACTGCTTATCTGGGTCATATATTTCGAAATTCCAAGTACCAGTTCTTAAATCTTATTATGGAAGGGAAGTTAGAAGGAAAACGGGGCATCGGAAGAAAGAAATACTCATGGCTTAAAAACATAAGGGATTGGACAAACTTCGATACCCATGCACTCTTTAGAGCCGCACAAGATCGAGAGGATTATGCCAGAATTGTCGCTAAAATCCACTAATTGGATAGGGGACCATAAGAAGAAGTAAATTTAATTATTATATAACCTAAATAGAGCAAATATATTGATGACTATATTAATGAAAGTAGTGAATTCATGTCAAGAACTGCTATTCTATGACACTACCTGTGATGAAGCCATCTTGTGACGCTAGTTCCGTGACACTCTCCTCAGCATTTTACTGTAGAGAAAAAAAGTAATACAGCGTTAGTATAGAAGCTTCACTTCAAATCTTTTTTTTTTAATTTAGTGTCTTATAGACAAATATCAAGGCAGAAAAAAAATAAAAAACAACAATTGATGGATAAAGGAGATAGAAGGTTTACTATATAAAATATTATGACTCTACTTACCACTTCCATGACTACACCAATATCTGTGTGCATAAAATCAAATGGATTGTATATCTCCAATTCGTTCCTTGCTTCTGGCAACTCAAAAAACTCCAAAGAGTTTGTTTTTTGAATAATTTGCTGCCATATAAAGTTTTCAATATTCTTATCAATACGAAAAGGACCATCTAAAGCTATTTCCAATCTCTTCCAAAATGCTAAAGAAATAATGCATTGTAATTTATTCTTAAATAATATATCATAAGTTCTTGTATATAAATTGGTATATATCATATAGTTTTATCAATCAAATTTTTTTCTTATCTTTGTAGGCATAAAGACAAATTGAAATGTGGGTATTTATTAAAGACATAGTGAGATAGACATAGAGATAGATAGAGTTAAAAATAGATTCCTGCATTCTCACACACATTGATATGGTAAACATCCTCAGTATAAGAATAAGAAATATTTCTAATTCTTATATTTAATTTCATTAAAGTGAATCAATTAGTACTTTGGTCATAGAACCACAAACTGGCATGGTATTCACTTCTTTAATAGTGAAACATTAGTTAACAACATAAAAGGTCTAGTATCAAAGTCAGCCAGCCAAATCATTGTTAACAAATATCGTTTTAAGATGAGATGAACTGTTGAAAATCCGTATATACATACGCCTCAACATGTATCCATAATACATAAAGGTGATGTGGAATTTATTTGACATAAGAGGAAAAAGAGATATATAAAAGAAGGAAGTTGTGAGAAGGTTGACAAGTCATAAATTTATTAATACATAAAAGTTAAGAGTTCTAGTTAGCTCAACATAGTCTTGATATTACTAACTATATATCTTAAAGTACAAAACTCACATCCAAACATTTATGACAACCTAAAAAACATCTACTCCTGACTTTCAAGACGATTGAAGAACTTAATCTCTTTTTTTAATGTCGTTTGATCTAAAAAAACTTAATTTTGTTTTACCTTCTATTGTAATTCCATCTAACCCTTCCAATGCAATTTCGTCAAGTATGTGGAAATAAAAATCTTTAAAAGTAAAAGCTGAATAATTATTCTTAAGTTCATCTCCCAAAAATAAATCGTAGGACATCTGCTCTATTGTTTTTAATACAACATGATTTGTACCTAATAACCTATCTGTATACACAGTTTCATTGCAAACTTCTTTATGTGCACTGAAGTATCCTCGCTTTTTATGTGCCTTATGCAATTTCTGAATTTTATGTAAAGGTTCTCGTATATCAATAGAAGATTTTCTTTTGCAAGTATCTTTTTTATTTCTTTTTATTATACGCTGGTTAACATCCAAAAAGGGAGCTTGTAAACTTTTACCCATTTTGTTTATTTTATTATTACACTGTATCAGAGAATAAAACTGATTTATTCAGTTTTTAATGTTTTTATTCAATTAAATAACATACTGGTAAGGTTATGGTCAATACTATTTCTTCTTCTTCTTTCTTCTTCTCTTCTTTCTTGGCGCTGCACATAGGCAATTTGCCAGCTCGATACGTGGGAATTCCAGATAATCGAGTATCCTGTACTCCTGGAATTCCGATAGCTAAACTAAAACACAAAACAACCGACACAATCTATAGCTGCGGGTGTGATACTTTACACCTGCAGGTCTAATATTTTTCCATTTGGAAAGAAAGGATTTTTTAGGTTAGGTTTAGAAAACAATGCCGTGTAGAACGTCATTGGTTGAAGCAAAGAATATTGTAGACGCTTAAGGTCGATTCAGACACATCAGTCACGTCATCGTCACGGCACCGAACCGGTCCTGTTTGGTCACAGAACTATCAACTATCTGACAGCTGGCAAACTGTTTGTCAACTGATGAGTGTGAATGCCGGCGCCATATTTGTATTAAAGAATATTTTGTATGACGGATTGTTCGGTTCGGTGCCATCACTGTGACGAGACGTGACTGATGTGTCTGAATCGACCTTTAGGCCGGTCGTCCTTTGGATGCGTTTTCGTCCGAATTGCGTTCGTCAGAAATCGGACGAAGAAGTGCGAAGCATCCCGTTTCATTGAAACCTATTGATGCTCGTACACTGCGTCCGAACTGCTTCGTACGAATTCGGACGAAAACATGCGAAGTGCGATCTATCCGAAACAAATGGGATTTTTCGCAGTTGTTATGACGAATTGATAGTCGATTTGTATTTGTAACAGAACGAGATGGATGTTGAAAAATTAATTACTTTAATTTATGAAAAAAAGCCTCTATGGGATATGACCGATAAATCATATCACATGAGAGATATACAAAGAAAATTGTGGCAAGAAGTGGCAGTTGAAATGAATACTAAGGGTAAGTTAAATCAAATTTAGGTGTCAGGTACCTATGATATATGTATTTGCAAACAAACAAAATATTTGTCTTTGTTGTTTATAATGTAGAAAAGGCATATATGGGTAAGGCTCATTGAAATCCAAAATGTATTTGAATATTTTATTGATTTTAAATTATGCATTATACAATTCTTGAGATGAAAAATAAGTTTTAAATTTATCCCTGATGTCATAAGCTGAACTGGTGCCTCTGTTTTCACCCAAGGTTCCAAATCTTCCCGTTCTTGAATGTGTTTGATGAGGGATTTGCTCGAATGTACATGCTACTTGTTGCTCTCCTTCTTTATCAATTATAATGTTATGCAAGAGGCATATGCATTTAATAAGTTTATCGGCAGATTCGGGATTTACTTCAATTGATTTTTGTAATAATCTCCATTTGCTACTCATAATTCCGAATGCACATTCAACAACTTGTCTTGCTCGAGACAAACGCTCATTAAAAATTATTTCTGAAGGTCCTAATTTTGATACTGGAAAAGGTCTCATTAAATAAGTTTTTAGTGGATAAGCTTCATCTCCCAAAAGAACATGAGGTACTTTAATATTTGTTCCCGGCAGTGCACAATGTCTTGTAACACCTAATCCTCCGTTTTCAAGCTTTTGGCAAAGATTTGAATGCGAAAAAATACCACCATCACTTTCTTTACCGTACGCTCCCACATCAATTGCTATAAATTTGTAGTTTGGTCCAGCCACAGCTTGTAAAACAATTGAGAAGTATTGCTTGTAGTTTCGATACATACTTCCAGAGTGCTTTGGATTCTGTATACGTATGTGTTTCCCATCTATGCATCCAACACAGTTTGGAAATTTCCACTTATTCCAAAATCCTTCAGATATAGATTCCATGTCTTCATTTTTCGGAAATGGCATATGTACAGTACCCAACTTGTCCCAAATAGCATCACACGTTTCGTGAACAATTCTACCCACCGTGACATCTGATATTCGAAACGAATACCCCAATGTCTTAAACGAGGAGCCCGTTGCCAAATACCTGAAATGAAAAAAAAACGTGATTAATTTGTAACGATTTTTTTTGTTTCAGTTGATGAACTAAAAAATAAATGGAGGGGGCTGCGAGACACATTCCGGAAGGAATTCAACAAGTCGAAAAAACAGAAATCTGGAGATGGTGCAGAATCGGTAGTTACCTCCAAATGGCCATATTATAAAATACTGTTGTTTTTATCTAAAATTGTTGAACGACGTAAACTGCATGGAAATATATCTCCGCAAAAGGAAGACAATAACAACTCTTATTCCGAAACAGAATCGACATTGGAGCCTGATGCAGACAATGCATACTCTCAATCAACCATTCAAGAGTCATCACAGCAAATTGTAAATACAGATATACAGCAGCCATCCACATCTGGTAATGAGGTTAAAAGTACATTCAGTACACCTAGTAGTACAACTATGCAAACTAAGAAAAACACAAACAGTCGTCTAAAATATGCTAAGAATTCCGAGGCAAATTCAATGGACGACAAGTTCCTCGAAATAGAAAGAGCCAAATTGGAAATATTGTGCCAACATAAAAATAGAGAAGAGAGTGACAGTGAACGCCAATTCCTACTCAGTCTCCTGCCCTTTTTAAAGGCTGTACCTCAAAATCGACAAATGCTAATAAGAAGTAAGTTGCAGCAAGTATTTCTTGATGAGGAGCAATTATCTACAAGACACGCGCCCGGAGCATCATATCGTTCCAATGAAACAATTACATCAACACCGTTGCCTTCTCCAATGTCTTACACAGACACCGATTCCTCCAGAACGTCATTCTATTGTAATGACTTAATATCAACACCACATCATTCTTCATCTTTGCAAAATACAGAATCTTCCGTGGTCTCACAATATTCAAGTGAAAGAAGAGAAGATGTTTCCTCTCAACAGCCGTTATCCATTCAGAACTATATTACTCACTTCAGCGCATAAAACAATGTATTTCTTTTCTTTGTATTTTTTAATAATAAAATTGGAAATGTTGCAACTACTGTATTTATTATAACTTACCTTAGAGTCACACTCAATCGTTCTTCTGGTGAAATGGTCTCACGGAAATTCGACATTTTTTTAATTGGTTCTCTTATGGCATCTAAAATATAGTTAAATGTATCCTGATTCATGCGATAGTAATCAAAAAACTTTTTCTCGTCCTTTTTCAAATCATCATATAAATGATGAAATTCTCCGAATTCTTTTCGTTTTGCTAATATGTCATTAACCCAACATTTTTTTCTTTTTAATTTTAATCGCCGTCTAACAAGGTAACTATTTTCCAAAAGAATATGATCCATATTAAGTATTAATAATTATTATAGTATGCTTATTTGATAAATTACTACATATGACTGACTTCGTACAATGCGAAAACTTGTCTATAGTGGACGATACCACATATGCGAAATCTGACGAAATTATTCCTCCGATTTCTGACGAAAATATTTCGGACGAAAACGCATCCAAAGGACGACCGGCCTTAAGCGTCTATATTCTTTTGTTGAAGGGTGAACAGCACTGACCGGTGAACCAAAATACAATAGCTGTTAAAGTGTTAAGATTACCGTTCATTTACAGTTGATTAAATTTTTATTTTGTTATAAGCTAGGAATTTGATTAAAAATCTGCTGATTTCAAAGTTTAAATTGGCAAGTATTATATTCATATTGCAGGGATAGTCAAAACCTTTTTTTTTTAATGAAAATATATGAATCTACTCCTGGAATTTTATTAATGGGACATTCAAAGAATTGTTAAGCCGCATTCACAGTATGGATTGTCTTTGATGCCAATTCGGTGTAAATGTTCTCCGGTTAGGCAATGTCCAGTGTCAATACTATTTTGACTATTTTTCACTTCGCTCTACTTCTTTCTTTATTTATTTTCTATTTACTATTTTGACTGATCGGTACTCGGTAGCTGGTAGCTGCAATGACGGATAAAATCTGCTTCTCTTTAAACTTTTGACATATTCTTGGCCTTAGGTAGTAATAAGATGCAGCCAATATTCTAACCCAATGACATACGTCATTGTTCTAACCCTTTCTGTTAGCTGGTAACCCCAGAGAACTACGATCACACTGCGTTCGTAGTTCTCTGGTAACCCTGTTCTGTTACCCAGCTACTAAGTTACCAGCTGTAGTCCGTTTGAAGAGGTTTACTCTCCGGACACTGGAACTCACTTCAACCATGGGTGTATGTTACTTGAAGTTAAATTTAATTTAATATTTAACATCACAGTTTTATAACATTATGTACAATCTTTTACAACTACATGTAATTTAAAGGGTTTTTACCTTGGTATTTTGGCGGCTCAGGCAATTTTAACCTAGCAATTTTAAACCTGATGATGGACTGTTTAGTCCGAAAACGTTTGTTTTTTGATGTAGCCCTTTTAAGGGTTTTTAAATAAATATACCCATTTACGAAGATTAACCTCTTTTTGATTTTCATAATATTTTCGACTTTTTCTTTTAATTTGTGTTGCAATTTAGTTATTAATATTTGAATATATGTTTGGTTATGTTGCAATATGGGCTAACGTGGTGCTACAAATATGAGATAGCCCAAATTTGTATTAGTTTAGTCTACATGGTTTTTTCTTTTCAGAATGCCTAGAAAAAGTATTTTAAGTCTAAAAGAACGAAAGTCCTGGGATCCAGATAGCATGAAATCTACGATTCAAGCTATGAGAGATAAAACGATGGGTACATCAAAAGCAGCTAAAACTTTTAATGTCCCGAAATCGACAGTACAACGGTTAGCAAAAATGACTGAACTGAGTCCAGATGAAGCAGTACTTAAGAAACTAGAAGAGGAGGAGGAACTATTCTTGGCCCAGATTTAGAAAAATGTTTGGTGGACTATATCCTTTAAAAGGAAGCGGAATTCTATGGCTTAACGCGGACCGATATCAAACGAATGGCATTTTCTCTGGCTAAATCAAATGGATTCAATGATATT